TCACTTTATGTGTAAAGGGAATGATCAGGGGAGCCCCTCATTAATTTGATGAGTTCCCAAATCAACTTAATGAGACTCTAGAGTTTGAACATTTGTCTGAAGGGCACCTTCCAAGGACGTGTACACACACACACACACACACACACACACACACACACACACACACACACGAGGAGGAAACTCTGATCTCTGACTGGTCCCCAATGATTGGAAATGCTTCCAAGATGAAGAGGATGGAGATGGAGAGGAACAACAGATTCTTATTGAAGGACTTGCCCTTTATCCTCTTCACTGTAACACTGAGCTGTGAACTGGCTGGACCTCTTCCTTTTCCTGTATTCTCTCTCCCTTGTACTTTCAGACCAGAGTTAGGGGGAAGGGGTATTTCTCCTCCTTCCCAGGCTCCCAAGAGTCAACAACAAGAATTATTTATTAAGAGCCTGCTAGCAAGCAATGTGCTAAGAACTAGTGATAAAAAAAAAAAAAAAGAAAAAACAGCCTTCAAGGAGCTCACATTGTAATGGGGAAGACAGCATGCAAACCACTATGCATAAACAAGATGTATAAAGCATAAATAGGAGATAATGTCAGAAAGAAGGAACTAGCATTAAAGGGAACCAGGAAAGGTTTCTTGGAGAAGATAGGATTTTAGTTGAGACTTGAAGGAAGCTGGGAAAAAATTTAAGAGGTAGCTATGATGAAGGAGAAAATTCCAGGCATTAGGGACAGTCAGTGAAAATGCACCAAGATGGGAAGAACAGCAAGGATGCCAGAGTCACTAGATTGCAGACTATTTGGACAGGAGAAAGGTATGAGAAGAGTGGAAAGGTAGGAAGGGGCCAGATTGTGTAGGGATTTAAAAGCCAAAAAGAAGATTTCATATTTGATCCTGGAGGTAACAAAGAACCACTGGAGTTTATTTAATTCAGGGGGAGGGAATACTGTGACATGGTCAGACTTGTACTTAAGGAAGATACATATGTGTGTATGTGTGTGTGTGTACATATATATATATATATATATATATATATATATATATACACATACATACATACATAATTTGTTTTGTTTTGTTTTGTTTTTTGGTGAGGCGATTGAGGTTAAGTGACTTGCCCAGAAACACACAGCTAGGAAATATTATGTGTCTGCGGCTGGATTTGGACTCAGGCCCTCCTGACTCTGTAGCCAGTGCTCTATCCAGTGCACCACCTAGCTGCCCCGGAAGATATATTTGACAAGTGAATGGATGATGACCTAGAGTGGGAAGAAACTTGAGAGACAGGGAGATAAACCAAAAGGATGCTTCAGTAATCCAGGCATGAAGTGATTCAAGGCCTGGACCAGGGTGGTGGCAGTCTCAGAAGAGGTGTGGCAGATGAGAGATACTGTGAAAGCAAAATTTAGTAGAATTTACAGGACTTGGCAAGAGACTGGATAATGGGGCATGAGGGAGAATGAGGAGTCAGGGATGACATCTATTTTGCAAACCTGGATAACAGAGGTGATGGCAGTGCCTTCAAAGTTAGGGAAATTAGAAAGGTTTTGGGGAAAGATAAAAGCTCAGTTTTAGATGTTTAAATTTAAGTGACTTCCAGTTTGAGATGCTTAATAGACACTTGCTGATGTGAAGCTGGAGCTCAGAAGAGATGTTAGAGCTGGATAAATATATTTGAAAATCATCTGCATACAGATAATAATTAAGTCCCTAAGAGTGGTTTAAGTTGCCAAGTGAAATAACTTGAGAGAAGAGGGAGCTTTTGGCAAATGGCCTCAATTTTTTCAGTGAAATATGAAACAAGGCTAAGTCAAGAGCAAAAACTGGTGGTTTACAGAAGAAACATATGGCAAAATGTTTAGGTATGTCTTCTTTTCTTTCTTGTCACAATAGGACAAGAAACATAACTATTAAAACAGATGATATAAAAAATGTCTACCAAAAACTTCATGACACGTTATTCCATTAAGCCATAATTGCCTGATGTAAGGTCTCAATTGTACAGAAGAAATCTTCCCAGAATCACAGGACCTAACATTGGAATAGACCTCAGAAGCATGTCTGGTTTAGCCTAAACCTGAACAAGTACCACAATTACCACAGTCCCAAGTGAGTCATCTGACTGGTCGTTGAATACTATATTAATCAGGAATCCACTAGCACTTCCTGAGATATCTCTGCACTTGTGGTCAACTCTCATTGTTAGAAAGATTTTCTGTATATCAAGCTTAAATCTAACTTCCCGCAACTGCCAATCCTCGTTCCTATTTCTACCCCGGGGACCAATGGGAATAAATTTAATCTTTGTTCCGAAAAGCAGGCCTCTAATACCTGAGGTTCTGTCATGGTGTTTGCCATGCTTTTCATCTCCAGGAAAAAAACACTTCCCCAAACTGAGCTTTATAACAGAGGTGTCAAGCATGTTTCCCACAGGTCACATGCAGCCCACTAATACTCCTGAATGTGGCTGAAACCAGATTAAAATGTAATTGGGAAAATACTTAACAAAATAAATAAAAGTACAATAAAACATAGATAATATTACTATGTGGTTTTCTAAATCAATATGAGACCCTCGGGGCCTTGTATTTACCATATACATTGTGTATGGTAAATGGCCCCTGTTTCTATTTGAGTTTGACACCACTGTTACATGGCATGTTTTCCAGTTCTCTTATGATCTTGGTTGCCCCCTTCTTGAAGCATTCCAGCTTGTTTATATTCTTCCTAAAACTTACTAAAAGTTGCTCAGAACTGAACAATGTGTTCTTTTTTTTTTCAACATTCACTTTTATAAGATTTTGAGTTCCAAACTTTTTTCTCCCTCCCTCTTCCCCCCTCCCCAAGATGGCAAGCAATCTGCTATAGACTATACATGTACAATCATGTTAAACATATTTTCACATTAGTCATGCTGTTAAAGAACAATCAGAACAAAAGGGAAAAACCAAGAGAAAGAAAAAACAAAACAAAAAATGTGAAAATAGTATGCTCTGATCTGCTTTCAGACTCCACAGTTCTTTCTCTGGATATGGATAATATTTTCCATCATGAGTCTTTTGGAATTGTCTTAGATCCTTGTATTGCTGAGAAGAGCTAATTCTATCAAAGTTGATCATCACACAGTGTTGCTGTTACTGTGCACAACTGAACAAAGTGTTCTTTGACATTGTTTGACAGAGAAGAACATAATAAATTGTTGCCTTATTTGTTTTGTATATACATCTTTCAATATAGCCCCCTGGTTGTCATCTCATTGATTCCTATTCAACTTGCAGCCCACTAAAACCTACATAAATTTTTCACTGGATTGTGTCTATCCATGCCTATCCTATCTGGTGTCTCTATGAAACTGATTTTTTTTTTCACCCAACTGCAGAACTTTTATCCCTATTAAATTTTATCTCATTTCCATATTTCCTATCCCTATTAACATTTTATCCCTATTTATCCCTATTAAATTTTTATCCCTATTAAACATTTATCCCTATTAAATTTTATCTTATTTCCATATTTCCTGGCTATTAAAAACTTGCTGTATTCTGGTTCCGTCATCCATGTTATTTTGCCCTTCTAACTTTGTGTTTCGAATAACACCAAAGTTGTGAGGCTGGTGACTAGGAGGTGGAGCAGTAGATAGGGCACTGGGCTTGGAATCAGGAAGACTCATCCTCCTAAGTTCAAATCCAGCCTCAGACACTTCATAGCTAGATGACCCTGGGCAAGTCACTTAATCCTGTTTGCCTCAGTTTCCTCATCTGTAAAATGAGCTGGAGAAGGAAATGGCAAACTACTCCAGTATCGTTCTTTGCCAAGAAAACCCCAAATAAGGTTATGAAGAATTGGATATGACTGAAGAAGTACTGATCAACAAGCAAGGTAATAGGGAAGTTAGGAACGGAGGAAGGTGGAAGAGTTTTGGTGGAAAGAGAAGGGGGGAAAGAGAAGGGGGGAAAGAGAAGGGGGAAAGAGAAGATGTCTACAGAGCCTCCAGTTCAAAATGTCCAAATACCAGTTGGTGATTGAGACTAGAGGTCAAGAAAACAGTTAGTCTGTATATATATAAATCTGGGCATAGAGATTATAATTGAACCTATGGGACCCGATGCAATCACCAAGCAAGGGAGGAAAGAGGGGGAAGAAATGAGGACCCAGGATAGAATCTAAAAGGATACCCACTGTTGGTGAATATGACTTGAAGATCCAAAAAAGGAACCTGAAAAGGGGGCAATCAGACAGGTAGGAGATAGAAGAGAGAATCTGTGTCACAAATACCTAGAGAGGAGAGAGTATCCAGGAGAAGAAAGTGTCAAAGGCTGAAAAGAGATCAAGAAAGATGAGGGCTGAAGTTTGCAGTATGCACAGGGAAGTGAAATGAGTTAATAACTCATAGTCATGGAACTAGCTGGAAGCAGAGCCACGACTAGAACCTAGGTCTCTGAATCCCAGCCACCACACCTTTGCTTTCCAGTCTTTTCGCACTTCACTCCAGGAGATCTGCTTTCTATGATTCAAGGACACTGACCATCCTTCAGTCTCTCGGACATGACACTGCCTCTCTCATCTCTATGCCTATATCCCAGAGGCCTGGAATGCTCTACTTCCTCACTTCTGGGTTTACCTGGCTTCTCTGAAGGAGGCCTTTCCTGATAGTCTAATGCCTTTCCCTCTGAGATCACTTGCCTTCTAGTCTGTATATATCTCGTAGGTACCTAGTTATTTGCATGTTGTGTCCACCATTAAAATATGAACTCTTTGAGAGCACAGACTATTTTTTTTTTTTTGCCTTTGTATCCCCAGCGTTTAGCACAGTACCTGGCATAAACGCTTAATAATTAATTGGTTAACGCTTAATAATGAATGTTGACTGACACCACCAATCTACCGTTATAACGGTCCAGGCGCCCCTTTACGAAGTGGGCAGTGAGTGAGGGCATGCACAAGGAATGGATGGAGAAGGGTATCTAGTCCAAGAAAGGAGGGGCACAAAGTAGGAATGCTTTACCTGGTTGATAAAAGATGAGGCTGCTGGTGAGGTTGACCAGCAAGTCCAAGACCCGATGTTTTTCCAAATACATTAGAGCTTCCTCCTCCCGGAGACTGGTCAGTTCTAACCTACGGGTAAGAAACTCAAAAGCCATGGTCAACTGTTTAGATGCACGCCGTTGCTAGGAGCCCAGGCAGTAGCTGCAAAGATTCTAGATTCCGATTGTTCTTTGCTTGTTGACCCCACCCACTCGATTTTCCTCCCCGCCTTTTCTGGGCACGTGCATTCCCCTCAACCTCCCGGGCCCATAGCGAAAGAAAGCAGGATCTCAGTGGTGCTACCATGACCTCGACCTTGGCCACCATGATCTTGACTTTTGCTTTGTTTTGTTTTGTTTTGTTTGTTACCTTATCCCTAGTGTCCATCAGGCAGCTGAGGGTGGCAGACCCGAGCTGCTCTGGCCCTCCTGGGTCAGGACCCGGAGAGAAGTGCGCCTGCGTGGGAAGGAGGGTGGCCTCTGGTCGTGCTGCAGTGTTCCCTGATCACCCCGGCTTTCAGCTGCCGTCTCCAGCTCTTCCAGCAGGCTGTGGTTTGAGGCTGCGTGACAGGAGGATCAGTTACAGTTGTTAGCTTAAGCAACAATTTCTGGTATTCACTGCCTTGGCTGATACAGGTTGTGAAATCTGTCTAGTTCGCTGGGCTACAACGCCCAGTGAGGAGGCACGGGCTGCTTTACTCCCATGTTTGCTGGAGCTCAGCCCAGCGCCTTGTCTATACCAGAGCCCTTCCCGGGGGACTTGCTGCCCCCTCGGCAGCCGGAGAATTCTAGTTGGGCGTCTGAGCTGCTCTAAACTGACCTTAGAGGTCACTGGGGACCTTCTCATCTCACAGCTGTCATCCGGTTTGCCCAAGGACACAGGTTACTGAGCGACAGAGCTTTGACTTGCTTTCGAGGCAAGTCAACAAGCATTTATTAAGCACCTGGGGGATACAAAGAAAGACTACCCCCCCCAAAATAATAAAAACAAAGCGCCCTGCCCTCAAGGCGTTCACAGTCTAATGGGGGAGACTGAGAGCGAAAAATTATGTAGAAACAAATATATTTATATACTAGACTAAAAGTCTTAGCGTAACTCAAAGCTGCTAATAGCCTGGGGACCGGTATACCCAGTATAGAGTAAATTGGAAGCAATCTCAATGGGAAGGCACTGTATTAAGGGAAAACGGAGAAAGGCTTCTTGCAGGAGGTGGGATTTTTTTAAAAGGAAGTGAACGATTTTAAACCCATTTTCTCTGACTCACAGCCCCAGTGATACAACTTCCTTTCTTTTTCCCTTTCTTGCTTTCTAGGTTTCTTTCCAACCCCCTCCGGCTCCCCGGCCCTCCCCTCTACCCCCCCACCCCCACCCCTAGTCTTTTCAGCTTCTTGATTGAGCTTGTCAGGCACAGACACATGAAAAAAACTGTCATATAGAATATATGGAACAGTCCATCAGGTCAGTTCAAAATTAATAATAGTAATGCCTATCATTTATATAGAGCTTTATGGTTTGCAAAGTGTGCTGCATGTAGTTATACAAGTGCTACTTTGGCAGATGAGAAAACCTAGATTGAAGTTGCTTGAGCGAATTGTCCAGGGTCACACAGCTAGTATTTGAGGCAGAATTCAAGCTTAGGTCTTCCTGACTCCAAAACGAACCTTCTATTCATTTGGGTTTTTTTTATCTTTTTTTGAAGATTAAATGACTTGCCCATGGTCCTTTTTCTGTGTTGTCTTCCTCCATTGGATTATAAGTTCCTTGAGGGCAGGGACTGTTTTTTGCCATTCTTTGTATCTTTACTGCTTAGCACAGTGCCTAACACATAGTAGGCACTTAATAAATATTTATTGACTAACTGACAATAAACAGTTAGTGGCAGAAGGGGATCTGAACCCAGGTTTCTTGATTCCAAATCCAGGACTCCATCCACTCACTACTGCATGCTGCCTTTAAATTTTCATGGAGAGGGAGAAGGAAATTAGTATTTATTAAGTATCTACTGTGTGCCAGGCTCTGTGCTAAGTACCCTCACAATAACCCTGGGAGGTAGGTAGTGTTACCATTCCCATTTTATACCTGAGGAAACTGAAGCAGGCAGTAGTTAAATGACTTGCCCAGGGTCACACAGCTAGTAAGTGTCTGAGGTCACATGTGAACTCAGGTCTTCCTGACTCCACTCGCAGATATTCTATCCATTGCAACTCTTTCAGTTTCCCGTAAATTATATTGCATTTGAAGCAAATCATATATAGTGACACAGAACATTTCTACCTGGTATTTGTAAATGGTTACAACTGGAAGAAAGATTATCAGGCAGTTATCATTTTGTTTGTGTTTGTCCAGGAAGTCTGTGCTTCTTTCTTTTTTCTGAAAAAGAAGTGGTCGTGTTTGAAACTCCCCTTCACAAGATGTTCTAAGGTAGCCATTGCCCCAGATTTTAAGGATGTCTCAATGATCCTTGATTCCATAGGAGGAAACATTCCTGGAAAACAAGTGTTTTGGGAAGCTAATAAGAAGTGTCCGGATGCCATCTAGTGGAGCTCTGCTGGCATGTGCCAAATGCTGTTTCATGCTATCACTTCTGTGTTGATGGATTGGGTTTAGGTTTTGGTTTTTCTTTTCAAATCCCAAATAACATACCATGGACAAAAAGAGAAAAAAAGAATTGAGGACAATACCCAGGCAGGTAGACTTTTGTGTCCCTGCCACAGGATGGACTTCCAAGTGAATTATGGGAGTAGTTTCAGACAAAAATCATTGCCTCAGTTCAGTTGGGATGATGGAAAACATAGATTATTTTCTGCCGTAACCACGAGCTAAAGGTCCGTCTCTGCTTAGAGAACCGTCTTTAAGAGTGCTATGTCCAAAGAGAGCAGATTAAACTTGACTTCATACAATAAGGTAGCCCCAACCTAAATATTGTGTTTACATGTACTGTAATCATCCTAATTTTCAGATAATCATTATATGGTATTTCTGCCATACCGATACAATAGATGTGAGTAACCTCAAGAACCTAGGAAATAATGGGATGTAGCAAAATAAATAGGAAGTGATGAATTTTGAATATTATCTCTGTTTTTGTTTTTATCTAATTTCAAATTTATAGAATTTAATTTTAATAATGACTGTTTAATAACTGTTAGCTTGCAAAATTCCTGGACTTTTTTTTTTTTTTTTAACGATGGCTCTTGCAAGCTGGTATGGGCTGACATACTGATGCTGCAGATCTCTTGTGATCCTGATTTGGTTCCTTGGTACTTGAACTATTTCTTTCTGGATACTTGCAGTATTTTTTCTTTGAAATGGAAGCTCTGAACTTTGTCTCTGATTTTCCTGGAATTTTTCTTTTTCTTTTCTTTTTTTTGAGAGGTGAACAATGGATGCCTTGCATCTTCACTTTGTCCTCTGGTTCCAATAGGTCTTGACAGTTTTCATGTATGATTTCTTGAAACACAGTGTCTAGAATTCTTTTTAAAATCATGCTAAATTATGGTTTTAATTGTGGTTTCTTAAATTCTCATTGTCCTATTTTTCAGATCAGTTGTTTTAATATCAGATATCTCACATTTTCTTCAATTTTTTCCAATCGTTTGATTTTGTTCCAATATTTCTTCTTGTCTTGGGGAGTCATTGATTTCTGTTTCATCTATTCTGGTTTTCAGGGAGTCTGTTACTTGGACTTCTCTCCTTTCTAAGCTTTCTTCGAGAATGTTTGTTTTATTTTTAAATTTCTTGTTTAATTTCTTCTAGATATTCATGCAGTTGCTGTGGAAAATCCATATTTTTTCTCTTTGGGTCTCTGCATACAGTTGTTATGGAGCTACTCTTTCCTTCTAGGCTGGATTTTTGGGCATCACTAGATCTATAGTAATCTTTTTATGCTGCTCAATGTCTTCTTTAGTTCACTCATCTCTATAGCTTTAGTTCCTTTGGGACTTGGGGCCATGACCAGGCTTAGCCTCTTACTGCACTTTGGCATGAGATGGTTGGCCCTGTTTGATCTTGCATTGGGTCACCTGAGTACCTGTGCTGACCTCTACCTCCTAGAGTAAAGTTCCCCTGGGTCTTCGAGGTTCAAAGCTCTTGTCTTTGGGGCCCTCTATGGCATATCAGGATAGAGGGCTGGGGACCTCAGATCCCAAGAACCTGGATGTCTTACTTTGAGCACAGCCTTGCCTCTATTAGTCATCGCCATTCCCCAGGGCTACTAAGGTACCTGCTGTAAGTTTCCCATCACCCTGGGGATTTGGGGGGAGGCCTTAACTCTTTCTGCTTCTGGACATGGAATCCTGCAGGAAATATGTATCTGTTGCGCATGGACTTTTGTCTGATTTTTTTGTGGAGTTCTTGGGTGGAAGAAGTCCATCCATTTCATTGGATTTCTTGATCATTATTACTAAAGTATGCATGGAGGTTCTTGATGGTTTACTTTGTTTAGGCAGCCATCTTGGCTAGAAGTCTCTGTACTCATCTGTTTTCTAGCATTAGCTGCCTGTTACATACCATATTTCAACACATAATTGTCTCCACTGCATACGTGGCACCCTGTTTTTTTTTAATCTGAAAATTCGTTTATAACTTTTCATTGCATAATCATAGCATGGTATCATTCTGTTTGTCATGCTGCTTAAAAGGTAAATAGAGAAGCAATGTATTCACCAGTGGCATATGGATATGCATTTAACTCTAGCTCCTTGTGAGTCTAGAGCCTAGAATTCTCAGCCCACAGGCATTGTCAGTATATTTCCGAAAGCCAACTTGTGTGGTTTGTTTAGAGTGCTGCGATACTAATGGTATTGTCACTCAACCTAATGAAGAATCATAGACAAAAAAGGAGCAGGCAAGCAGGCGGTGGCGAAGCTGCCATGAGTAAGTCACATAATTTGGTTAAGACTTGCATCTTCCCAATTTTAACTTATATTTATGAGTATTCCATGCATCCTAATCTTGCACCAAAGACAGTTTAGTAATAAATGATTTTTAAGTAATACCGGCACAGTTTTAAAGCTTCACATAATGGTTGCACCCACTGTCTTACAAAAAATTTGGCATAAAATCTGTGACAATTATGCGGTGAAATGCAGTAGTGAGCGCTCAATAAATGTTTGTTGACTGACTGATTGATTGCAATTAATCTGAATTCTAAGCTGCATACTTCTTAGGAAAAAAGTTTAAAAGAAGGAAAAAGAAACAAATAAGTAAAAAGAATACTGAATTGGAAGACCTGTAGAACTAGTTCTAGTTCTAACTTAATCAATAACTTAATTAGCCATAGTATCTTGGGCAAGTTATTTAACCTTTCTGAGACTCATTTTCCTCATCTATAAATTGAGGGGGTTAGATTAGAAAACCTCAAAGATCTCATCATGAGTTCAAATCCAGCCTCAGACACTTAATAGCTGGGTGACCCCAGGCAAGTCACTTCACCCTGTTTGCCTCAATTTCCTTATCTGTAAAATGAGCTGGAGAAGGACCACCTTGCCAAGAAAAACCTTAAGATCTAAGGTGGTAT